GAAGCGTTATCGTTGCTAAGCTCGCCTTTGATCAAGTTTGTTACGTCATAACTGTCAGCAGGTTGAGCTGAGACGATGCATTGTTTACAGTATTGAATCAGCCTAAAAATAGCATTTTTTTTCGTCTTGGTTCTGAAAAGGCTTATCTCGGCGTCTGGTCGGCGAAGACGGAGGTGACAGCTCTGGCGATTCGTCTGTCAGGACGACGCTCGCATTTACTCGCGAGCAAGAGAGAGCGATGGCCGCCGAGCTTGACAAAGAGAGAGAGAAATGGAGTTCGTCGCTCCTGCGCTCACGGTTCAGCGGTGGGAATGTCATGAGTGATGTCCCTCGGAGATGTTAGCCTTTGACGACACAGAGGCCGGTTATGAGTACTTACCACACTGAGCTCAGACCGATATATCGCATTAAATCCTGCTTTTGCGTCAAATGGGAAATTTCTATCGTTCGTGCCACGTGAACACCTGCAGCATGGCAATGTTATTACCATCGTAGCGAAGCCTCGCGCCTTATTGTCACTTCATCCATTTTTGAATCCGCGTATCCTCACAAGGGTCGCGGGGGGTGAGGGGGGTGCTGGAGCGTAATTGTCACTTCATTGTTTGTTCATATTGTCGCCCACGCAAATAGTCACTTTTTTAAAATATTTTATCCCCAGCGCTTCACAGCAGTGCTCTTTCTAAATCACCACAAGATGGCACCAAAGCCCCATCTAATAGGAAAGTAGTAAATTGGTGTCTCTATGAAGTTGTTTTCTTGCAGTTTCCAATTCGTTTGACGAGAGAGGCGTGGAACCACAGTCGTGCGCATGAGATTTTGCTGATTGCTTGCGGCCGAGACGAGCATTAGTTTCATTTTGTTCCTCCTTTCTCTCCTGTTTCCCCAGAAATTTTATCTTAGGGAAGTCAAGTCAAGTTGAGCACTGTATCGAGAGCTTGCCGCCGAAGTTGCTTTTTGGAATTCCCAGCGTAGGTTGCCATGGCAACCTCCTCTTCCAGTTTATGGATTCATCCTTTTTGCCGCTCACGTTGTGACAGTTCAAACTTGATCTTGGATTACAGTAATCCCCCCGCTATATTGCGGCCGAGCTGGCGTCTTGCGAGTGTTCCCCTTTGTCCCGTTGTTTGTTTGTCCCCGTTCGATGAACGACTGAAATCGCGTTGACGGCTTTCGTCCGATGCAACGTCTGTGGCAGTCGCTGAGTTCCGCGGTGGAATGACTTTCTGTTGTCTCCCTGCCATACCCCGTTTTGAATCAGCCTCCATCGAGCTTGTAGGGATTAATGTGCAAGAGCCCTATTGATTTTTGTACATCTTTTGCGCTTTCAATGAGGATTACTTACGATCTGTGATAGTGAGAAGTTTCAATTAGAACCCCACCGAGGTGGATTTTTTTTTTTTTTTTTTTTTTTTTTTTGGGGCTGATGCAGATATTTGGCTGAATGAAATTCCGATACTGAATTAATCGGCCAATTAAAAAAAAAAAGAGAGAGAGAGAGAGAGAGAGAGAGAGAGACTTCTTTTTTTGGTCTTGTACTGCTTACAAGAAAAATATGAATTATAGTTACATCGGACTGTATTTGTTTCATAAAGAGAAAAATCGTCATTTTCCTGGTTTTGTTGGGCCGTCTGCTTATAAGAAGTCACATTTTTACAGTTGCAAAAAAAAGAAAAAAAACCCCCACAATCGGAGTTAAAAATAGGAAATAAAAATGCGATACTCGGCACCCTCTCAGTCACGAATCTTATTGATCGCCCCCCCCCTCCCATTATGTACCGCGTGAAGTAAATTGTTGACCTCTTCCGAGCGCTCAAGTCCCAACACAAAGACTTTGCCGCTCAAGAGCCGCAACGAAGTGAAGTGGGCGAGGCCTTTGCCGACATGCTAAGTGCCTCTTTTCTTTCGACTGAGAGCAACAACTGTCTGGGAAAGCCATTCTCCGTTCAGCGCCCGACGAGCAGCTTTATTTGAGTCCGTTTTTTTTTTTTTTAATTGTTCCTCAAGGTCGTATCGATGGTTGGAAAGTCTCACAAGTTAAAATGAAAAAGACAAGTTGCGCTTTAAAGCGTCACTGTGGACAACTCTCAGGTATTTGCGCCGCACAGGCAAAACCCGCATTTCAGCCACCTGTTCTCCGCAATGACACTTGTAGGGCGCCACCTGACTGAACAACGGCTGCAAAAAGCTTTTAATTGAGCTCCGAAGGTCAGCCGCCGAGCGCTTCTTAAATCTGCCAGGTCCTGCCCGTGTTTACCCAGCGCGGCTTGTTTGATAAACTGTTTTGGCAGACGGCGCGCTCCCCCCGTGGGTGACGGTAGCCGACAGTCCCATCTGCGGGGCTCGCTGAGAGGAAATGTCATCAGCAGATGTCCGCCGTGACGGGCACCCTTGCGTTCCCCCCCCCCCCCCTTCCTCCCTCCTCCCTCTTTCGCTTTTCCTCCCTTCAATCTCTGCTCGTTGAGCTTTATTTACGTATTGGCGTATTAGCATAGATTCTGCGCGGAATCAACTTTTTTTTTTTTTCTCTGCAGATTCTTGGAGGGGGGCGGGGGGACTACTCAATGGCCCCTTCGGAGCCAAAACGGTCGTCTTATGATGCATTTGCAGGCCTGCCTTCTTGAGACTTTGTATTTCGACTCACGATAGCTATGCCTACCAAATTTCAATTCGCTAAGTGAAAACGGTCTTCCGGGGCTGAATTTTCAAACTCAACTTATGAGAGAGCAAAGTGGAACTCAGGTGTGGGAGGTGAGATGCCGGCCTTATTATTAACTTCTTTCTTCTGTCTGGCTGGGAGTCTGTTGTTTTGTTTTTTTTTTGTTTTTTTTTTGGCCCCGTGTCCAGCTGGGCCGCGATGCGCCGAGCCGTTTGAGGAAGTTGGGGGCTCGATGCTGTTGTTGTGGTCTTCCGGGGCTGAATTTTCAAACTCAACTTATGAGAGAGCAAAGTGGAACTCAGGTGTGGGAGGTGAGATGCCGGCCTTATTATTAACTTCTTTCTTCTGTCTGGCTGGGAGTCTGTTGTTTTGTTTTTTTTTTGTTTTTTTTTTGGCCCCGTGTCCAGCTGGGCCGCGATGCGCACTTAAACGCAGTCAGACGCATTCTGCAGCTTTAGATGAGGTTGCCTTGGCAACTGTAGCACTGCAAATGTGCAAACATTGAGAGTTGTTTGCGAGCGGTAATTAGTTGTACTTATTTAAATGAGTCATTGTGGTTTCATTTTTCACCATTGTATTGACAAATATTGAATCCGTTTCTTAAAGGTAAAGAAGTCGATGTGTAAAATTCACATCCACGTGTCGGCGATGTCGGTTCCTTTCGTCACGGTTCTTGACGGTCCCTCTTTTTCGCAGCACCTCTCCGATCTGCTGGCGTCGGTGCGACTGCCCTTCATCCACCCGTCCCCTACCTGCTACGTGGTCGACAACGAGGAGCTGATCAAGTCGTCGGAGGCGTGCCGCGACCTCGTCAACGCGACCAAGCGCTACCACATGCTGCCGCACGCGCGCCAGGAGATGCAGACGCCACGCACCAGACCGAGGCTCT